GTTGTATTATATACACATTGTTTGATCGGATTGCATGGATGATTATTTAAGTTTTTATTTTTTTTTATTTAAATAAAATTTTATCATTTATTTTATACTATTATTTTATAATTCTTTGTAATAAAAACGTAAATTGGTAAAGCAATTTTGTGATATAAAAATATTTTAAAGCTAAATAATTACTACCACTTGGGTTAGAAAAAGAAGTTTTTTAATGGATAGAAAGATATACATATAATTTGGTTTTTATTATTTTTAAATTAAAGAAACTACTACTTGAGTTTTATTTTTTTAAAACAATGGTTTATCAAATCTTTTATACGATTGAAATATATAATTTGACTAAAATGGACTTGTAGCTTCATGTTTGTAAGACTATAACTTGGCGCCAATTATTGATATCAAATATTTTATATAAATTTTACACAATCATTTGAGTTGGCAATATCCACTATACTTGACACCCTTTTTTTATCTTTTTTTAAAAAAAAGGTAATTTTATAGTGATTGATAATTACGTTACACCCATAAGTCCTATTCGTTTCTGATGTCGCGCTTCGAATGTTTTCGGCGAAATGGAGAGGTGTCCCCTTTAACGTCTTCAATAGTCCATGTGACACTTCGGCTCCTAGGTTTCCTTGGCAACCATCCCAATTGAAACGCGTGTCAGAAGTCGGAAGAATGGTATATAAGAGAGGTAGGAAAAAGTGACGACAGAGACGACGAAAGTAACGACTGAAATCTCAAACTTGGAACCGGCAATTCCGTTTATATTACTTGGAGAGGATGGCGAAATTAGATTCGCATCGTGCACGTGCGAAAGTAACGAGCGTTTGTTATATTTCAATTGCTTTTTTGTTTCGACGCCTACAGATTGATTGTGATGTTTCTTTTAACAGCCTTAAAAAAAATTTCTAGATCTATAAAATATTGCGAGATATACGTATAGAAAAAAGTGTGTATTATACTTTTAAATTTGATCATCCGTTTTACATCTCATTGTAAGAGACACTGCAGGAAAAAAGAACATCCGAATTTTTTATCGCGTACGCAAATGGTTCGTGCAAAATTGATAATGACTGCTATGTAGCAGTCTCGAGCGGCGGAATTGTCCTCTTTGTATTCCATTTTTTTAAATGAGATTCAAATTGATCCTGCTTTGGTTATCTTTTTGCATAGCAAATCTGACAGTATACTTACTTAGGAATTCATCGAAACATAGAGAATATTTAGTCCTAAATGTCTACCTGAAAAATTATATTTAATTTTTCTTATAATTTTCATTTTTTAAATATAGAAACGAGTTCTTGTCATACAGATGAAGAGCAAGAATGAAATATATAAAATTAAAATTAATATAATAAACGTTTGTATTAGCAAAGAGAGAGACGAAGGAATGTTTTACTAAGAAATTTTTTTTACTCTAAAAAGAGTAACAATAAAATTTATAATTATAATATT